ATCCATATAAAAAGAGATTAAAGTTACCGATGATTAAAAACAAACTTTCCTTCCTTCCCTTTCCTCCTCCTCCTCTTCCTCCCTCTCTCCTTCCTTCCTTTCTTCCTTCTTTCCTTCCTTCCTTCCCTCCCTCCTCTTCCCTCTCTCCCTTCCTTCCTTCCTTTTCCTCCTTCTGCTCTTCCTCCCTCCCTCCCTCCTTCCCTTCTCTTCCTTCTCTCCTTCTTCCTTCCTTCCCTCCCTCCTCTTCCCTCCCTCCCTCCCTTCCTTCTTTCCTTCCTTTTCCTCCTTCTCCTCTTCCTCCCTCCCTCCTTCCCTTCTCTTCCCTCCTTCCTTCCTTCCTTCTTTCGTTCCTTCCTTTTCCTCCTTCTCCTCATCCTCCCTCCCCCTTCTCTTCCTTCTCTCCTTCTTCCTTCCTTCCCTCCCTCCTCTTCCCTCCCTCCCTTCCTTCCTTCTTTCCTTCCTTCCTTCCTTCCTTTTCCTCTTTCTCCTCTTCCTCCTTCCCTCTTTCCTCCCTTCCTTCTTTCCTTCCTTCCTTTTCCTCCTCCTTCTCATCCTCCTTTCCTCCTTCCCTTCTCTTCCCTCTCTCCTTCTTCCTTCCTTCCTTCCTTCCTTCCTTCCTTCCTTCCTTCCTTCCTTCCTTCCTTCCTTCCCTCCCTCCTTCTCTTCCCTCTCTCCTTCTTCCTTCCTTCCTTCCTTCCTTCCTCTAAATCTGGGAATTCCAGAGAAATGAAGCAAGAGGTGGAAGGTGCCTCATCGATTCCCTCCAGTTACTCACTTGGGCAGATGGGACAACAGGATCCAGGCCTCCGCTCTGGGTGGGGGCAGGTCACGGGTGGGCAGAGGGTGGGTGAGCAGTGGACGGTGCCCCCCTGCAAGAGAGGAGACGGACGGGGGTTTAGATCCGAAGGACCCTCTGATTCTGCTCCTCGCCCATCTAATCCAGAGCCCTTGGAGAAGCTCCAGTGGAGATAAATACGCTTTTATTTACTATTATCCTTCTCATCTTTTCTACTACCTTCTTTTATTGGTATCGTTATTATGATTGTTATTACTTTATTGTTTGTCTGTAGACTGCGAGCTTCTTCACTGGAGACAAAGTCCCTCTGCGTCTGATCACACTTGGCCAGTAAAGAATTCTATTCTGTTCTGTTCTGTTCTGTTCTGTTCTATTCTATTCCCTATTTTCTATTCTATTCTATTCCATTCCATTCTATTCTGTTTCTAATTCTATTCTATTCTATTCTATTCTATTCTATTCTGTTTCTAATTCTATTCTATACTATATTCCAATATTTATTCTATTCTATTCTATTCTATTCTATTCTATTCTATTCTATTCTATTCTATTCTATTCTATTCCATTCCATTTTCTATTCGTTATTCTATTCTATTCTATTCTATTCTATTCTATTCTATTCTATTCTATTCTATTCTATTCCATTCCATTTTCTATTCGTTATTCTATTCTATTCTATTCTATTCTATTCTATTCTATTCTATTCTATTCTATTCTATTCTATTCCCTATATTCTATTCTATTCTATTCTATTCTATTCTATTCTATTCTATTCCCTATATTCTATTCTATTCTATTCTATTCTATTCTATTCTATTCTATTCTATTCTATTCTATTCCCTATATTCTATTCTATTCTATTCTATTCTATTCTATTCTATTCTATTCTATTCTANCCTGCCTGAGCAGGGGGTTGGACTAGATGACCTCCAAGGTCCCTTCCATCTGCTATTCTTTTTTCCTTCCTTCCTTCCTTCCTTCCTTCCTTCCTTCCTTCTTTCCTTCCTTCCTTTCTCCCTCCCTCCCTCCCTCCCTCCCTCCCTCCAACACTGGAAGTTTTGAAGAAGAGACTGGGCAGCCATTTGTCTGAAATGGCAAAGGGTTTCCTGGCTGAGCAGTGGGTTGGACTAGATGACCTCCAAGGCCCCTTCCAACTCTGTTACCATCGCAGGAGCGGCAACACCCCTGCTGCAGCGGGTGGGAGCACAGGACCGGGGCGCAGGGCTGGCGCTGGCAGGTGATGGTGCCGTTGGCGCAAACGCAGTTGCGGCACTTCTCCGACGGGTCGTAGAACCGCTCCAGGTGTTGGTAGGAGACTCCCAGGTACAGGCAGCCAGCTGGAGGGGCTGCAAAAGGGGAGGGGGGGCTGTCAGAAGGGTGGCATGGTCCCCTCCCTCCTTGGGCCCCTCGTAGGAGGCCCGCTCGGCATTGGGTGGCCCAGGCCGTTGTGGGGTGAGGGGCTAAAAGAGGGGGGCCTACCTGGACATTGGGGGCAGCACTCCTGGGGTCTCACGGTGGGCTCGGGGCAGAGCAGGGGTGGGCACCGGCGGGAGAGGCACTGCACGTGGCCGTTCTGCAAAAGGGAGGGAGGGAGAGAAGGGAACCGTGCTGGCATCTCTTCTTGACTCGACAGGCCCCCTTGAGGTCATGTAGCCCACCCACCCCCTTGCCCCAGGAGCGACCCAAACGATCTTCCTCTCTAGCTGGGCACTCACAATGCAGTGACACTGCCGGCAGCGGTCGGTGGGGTGGGGGAACTCCGCCCCGTTGGGGTACTCCTTTCCGGTGTAGCTGCAGCCTGGATGGGAAGAAAAATAAAACAAATCAGAATCACAGAGTCTGAAGGGACCTCGGAGGTCTTCTAGACCAACCCCCTGCTCAGGCAGGAGACCCTGTACCGTTTCAGACAAATCGGCAGCATCACTTTTTGCAGGGAAAGGGAAGAAAAAAAGGACGGAAATGGTACCAGGGGTAGGCAACCTCGGCTCTTTTATGACTCATGGACCTCAACTCCCAGAATTCCTGAGTCAGCTATGCTGACTCAGGAATTCTGGGAGTTGAAGTCCATGAGTCATAAAAGAACCGAGGTTGCCTACCCCTGGTATAGGCTCTCCTGCTTGAGCAGGGGGCTGGACTAGAAGACCTCCGTGGTCCCTTCCAGCTCTACTCCGGTGAATTAAATCTCCACTTGTGGTCTGGGGTTTATCCGGGCGTCGCACATCGGGCAGAACCAGCTCTCTGGGCCAACCCTGGGAGATTCTGCCACCCTACCATTGCAGTTGTTTTGGCAGCAGGAGCCCGGCAAGGGGTGGGCGCAGAGGGGAGCCGGGCACTTCCGTGGGGCGCAGACCAGCTCCCCCCCGGAGCAGACGCAGGCCTGGCACGGATCCAGCGGGTTGGGGGCTTCCTCCCCGTCTGGCACCACCTGGTTCTCCTGAAGGCAGCCTAAGTGGGCGGGGAGGAAGGAGGGGACGTTGGTGCTGAGACTCACATACACAGCGCTGTTCGACTCCCCCTCCCATTATTTTTATGCATTGATTTATTACAGTCCCGAGATGGTTTACGATATAGTAAGGAGTAGACCTATTAAAAACCATTATCCATATAAAAAGAGATTAAAGTTACCGATGATTAAAAACAAACTTTCCTTCCTTCCCTTTCCTCCTCCTCCTCTTCCTCCCTCTCTCCTTCCTTCCTTTCTTCCTTCTTTCCTTCCTTCCTTCCCTCCCTCCTCTTCCCTCTCTCCCTTCCTTCCTTCCTTTTCCTCCTTCTGCTCTTCCTCCCTCCCTCCCTCCTT